CATGATGTAAAAACGAGACGTCAGTATTTTGTGCTGAAATAAAGTTCCAACACAGTTAGCCCTATTTACCTTCAGCTTGATCACTTTTGTATTTTATTTCAGCCTCCCCTGCCTGCACGTCACTGTTTGATAATCAGTCACTACAGTTTGGACGCACTTTTGATGAATTAAGTTTTGTCATAGTTCAGAACAGGTGCAATTTGGAGTTTTGCTTCTAATTGGTTTAATTTAGTTAGCTTGAGGTTTACTGACCCTTTAGGAAATGTGATTTTCTACTTAGAATTAACAGAACATTTCAATTATACTTACACAAGCACGACGTACACCACCTGTAGCGGAGTGAACCTGAAAACACAGCAACACGTCCTCCTCTCGTCTGCTCCGGTTCAGACGGCTCTGTGAGTGACAGCAGACTCCATACTCATTATTTAAATCACTCGCTCCATTTTAATCTGAATGTGGTGCCAGAGAATATTCATGATCTTATTACTTACTCCTACTCTTTGTGTGTCACTGTCACTTCTTATTTTATTTTAATATGGTTATTATTAATATATATCTTGCGCATGTGCTCCTCACCTCTTCTGTTCTGTAACTTGTGATGCAACCCTGAAATATCCCCACGGCTGATACTTTGCTGATTTCTGTCAGAAAGTAACGTCTGCGATAAAGGCAAGACCACTGTAACATAAAATATATATATATATATATTAGAAAATTAATTATGATTGTAATTAATTCAGCATGATTAAAGCAATGCACTATATAAATAAAAAACACTTTAATTGCACCATGACATTTTGCGGCCACTTATAAAAGAGTAATATATAAAAGAGAAAAGGCCAGAATTTCTCAGAACGCCATCCAGATACAGTAAGTATAGCTTCATAACAATTGCCATTTCATATTCGCAGAAAAGCATGTAGCTCTGCAGGCTTCTCAATCACTCTGATGTTTTAACCCTTTAAAATCTTGACAATGTACTGTACGTGTGTAAAAAAAAAAGAAAAAAAAGCATCCATAGGTACCAATAACAGCTTGGTAGTATGGGGTGCCGATTGTAAAAATTCTGTTAAAATTTTTTAGCTGAACATTTTTCTACATTTAGCTCACTTTCCTCACATTTAGCACATTAAGACATATCTATATCTAAATATTATATCTATATCTAAATGTTAAATGTTATATCTAAATATTATATCTATATCTAAATGTTATATCTATATCTAAATGTTAAATCTAAATGTTAAATCTAAATGTTAAATCTAAAATGTTAAATCTAAATGTTAAATCTAAATGTTATATCTATATCTAAATGTTATATCTATATCTAAATGTTATATCTATATCTAAATATTATATCTATATCTAAATGTTAAATGTTATATCTAAATGTTATATCTATATCTAAATGTTAAATCTAAATGTTAAATCTAAATGTTAAATCTAAATGTGTCGCCAAGTGTAAAGCTAAATATATAGAAACCACGCCCACTGCAGTGGCTTCAAATCCAGTGGGCCCGCCTTCCGTGCCGTGTGGTGAGAACCCTACAGGATTACACAGGAATCTCACGGGACTCCACGTGGCTTAGTTTACAGTGAATACACTCTGGCTCCAGCAAATAAGCAAGAATCTTCACAAAAATGCTAATTTTGTGCCGTGGCCAAGGACGATGGCGCCGGAGACCCAACATGCCTTGAGCCGTGACGTCGGTCCACGTGTATTCCTATGTTCAAAACACGCGGCACCGCCCCCACTCACCACACGGCACGGAAGGCGGGCCCACTGGATTTGAAGCCACTGCAGTGGGCGTGGTTTCTATATATTTAGCTTTACACTTGGCGACACATTTAGATTTAACATTTAGATTTAACATTTAGATATAGATATAACATTTAGATATAGATATAATATTTAGATATAACATTTAACATTTAGATATAGATATAATATTTAGATATAGATATAACATTTAGATATAGATATAACATTTAGATTTAACATTTAGATATAGATATAATATTTAGATATAACATTTAACATTTAGATATAGATATAATATTTAGATATAGATATGTCATAAATGTGAGGAAAGTGAGCTAAATGTAGAAAAATGTTCAGCTAAAAAATTTTAACAGAATTTTTACAATTGGCACCCCATATTATGGGGTATAGATATAATATTTAGATATAACATTTAACATTTAGATATAGATATAATATTTAGATATAGATATGTCATAAATGTGAGGAAAGTGAGCTAAATGTAGAAAAATGTTCAGCTAAAAAATTTTAACAGAATTTTTACAATCGGCACCCCATATGGTAGGGTGTCAAATCCCGCTGGTCAATCAACCCTTTACAATCTTTGAAATTGTAAGTGAAAAAGAAATATAAATTAAATAGTATTTTTTTTGAACCATTATGTCAATTATCTCACTCATAACAGTTTCTTCACAATGCTTTTAAAATACTTTTCATTTCTCTGCACTGAAAAAGTCTCTAAGATCAGGACTTACAGGAGCAATCGTCCACATGTCTTATAAATACTTCTTGTACATTCGCTTTCAAGGCATGTACTTTGTTAAACATAAAAGAATTACTCATACAGCGATATACAGAGATGAACTTAAGTCACGTAAACCTTTATTAACACAGGACGTAAACAGCCTGGTTCAACACACAGTTCGAAGACATCTTTTCAGTTTAGTATTAGTGCTTTTAACAGTTCAGGCAACAAGCTACACAATATTTAAATTGTCACATCATGAACTATGAATAGCAACTTAGCTTAAAGAAAACCAGACACGGTTTGTCAAAAACACACAAAACAAAGGCAATATTGTCAACGTTATTATAAGATAATTATAAAAGCTCCTAATAACAGACAGACGCCACAGTTTTCATTCTTAGGTTTTCAGAAATGTTGGTCCATATAATAACAACTATAAAGACAAAAACATTAAAAGTATTCTAGATTATACTAAGTTCTGTCTGTAGAAATAAATGTGAACACAAACATGTTTTACAGCTGAAGCATTGTCCGTTTGTGTTCAAGCAAACAAGGAAGCAGTTCAAGCACATGTGAATTATTTCTTTAATTGATTTAGCATAAAACTAGTTATATACAGCTACTTTTGTACCTTAAATGCTTTGGGTTCAAGTAAAATGTAAAGGCAGCCACATCATGCCATTAGAACAGTTCATAGTGATAGCTACAATAAAGTAGTTTTTCAAAGTAGTAAGTGTGTGTGCTTAGCAAAGGCTGCGTATAGACGGACAACGCTGACCCTCAAGTAAATAGGGAAGGGCTGTCTTTCTGCTTTTTTGTGTCACACTTAGGGCAGGGTGATATCATTTTGAGACATACCGTAATAGAATTTGTGTGTATTCAAATGATGTTTATCTTTGATCTGAGTGTGTGAAGAAACAGTAGCCATGATGCTAGCTGTGGCAGAGGAACTTAGTAACATCCCTCGTTCACGGTAAGTTTCAATTTCAAAAGCTGGTGTCTTCTCCGTTGGATACTGCGCCTGAGTTAGGGTGGTCCTCTCCTCTCATTTTCACTTTTCTGTCTGAAAAAGGTGATCTAAAGCGGAACCCAAAAATACATGCAGGATAGAAGCAGTCTGTTTTGAGACTGATTTATTGGTTGCTTTTATTAGTTTTGACGGTTCTTACCTTCACTATTAATATTGTGAAATATATTGCTATTGTCATATTCATTCTCATGAGGTGATATCATTTTTGACCCAGCCCTAGTCACATTCACCATGTTGGGCTTAAAAATGTAAGGGTCAGTGCTCTCTATAATCTTGGTGTTTTGATAGTCTTTGTGAATCCAGACATGAGCCATCTGCAGGGTAACCTCCAGCTCGCCTTGGCAACCATCTTAGTAACGCAAACAGTATGTCCCGGCTACAGCCCAAAGCTGAACTAAACAAATGCTGATAAAACAGCTTTTTTCACATTCTTTAAACTCTATGGGTGACGTCAGCACTCAGTCAGGCCACTGCTACTATTCAGTCTATGGTCCGTAGGGAGTAGGTCGGTCACTCATGGTCAATAGAGATAGAATTTAGTAAAATACGTGTGTGTTTTTGGATTGGAAAAGTCCAATACATTGTTATTCTTAGTTACCTGATCTGACAGTACAGATCTTTGTCTAGTTCACTTGAACCAGACTGACTCACTGAACTGACTGAAAGTGGCTAGTGTTACAGATGGTAACTAGTTTGGTGGATTCATATCCAGGAAAACGAAGTGTTTTTTGCTCCAAGTGACTAAGATCAACAAGTGTGAAAGGGCCCCAAATATGTGGTTTGAGGAAATGTTAAGAGAACTGATGTCTTATTTCATGCTTCAACACAGTTGTACTTTAAAGTTTACACATCAGCCAGAAATTGTGATTTACTTTTTAGATTATGAATGATAACGCAAACCCCTTTTTTTGTGATGCCATTTATTGTCAAATAACAGTGTTTTCTATTATCAAATCAGAATATGATCCTGATTATGATCCGTTCTGATGCCGCTCTACGTGCACTTCCCTTTGACAACTTGAGTCTTTTGTAGATGAGATTTTTTTACGACTATATACCGCTTAGCACTTTGCACAAAAGTGTCAGTATTATTACTATTCATGTAACTACCAACACTAAGTGAAAATGACTGTTTTGTGTTTTCAAGTATCATCTCCAATATTTAATCAAAACATTGAAATCTGTGGCTGGGTGTGTAAACTTTCAAGCACAACCTTAGAACTCCACATGTCCAAATGTCAAAAAAAGAATAAATAAAGTATGAATTCTCCAGCTCTCCACACTGTACAGTACTCCACAGAAAGGCAAGGCTGGAGGCGCGACGTGAATGTGAATAATTCAAAAACTAAGCAAATGTCATCCCGTGCTTCTGCTAAATGGAATTGGGGATGCCATGATTCAGTCTGCCTCAGCTGCCTCAGAAATTCAAACTGAATGACGTCAATAAAAAAAGACATCTAGCTCAACATTACATCTTGAACAATTTGTCCGAGTTCATAATCCACGCCTTCGTGCATGTTGCGCTCGTTGGCGTTATCAAAGCTGTTCTTTCCGTGTATTTGCTTGAGGTGTTTTCTCAGCACGGGTTTATGCGCAAACACCATGTCGCAGTAGTTGCATCTGTGCGGTTTGTCCCCGCTGTGCAGATTCAGGTGATCGAGCAGCGAGCACTTCTGCGTAAACGTCTTCCCGCAAATTTTACAATGAAACGGTTTGATGCCCGCGTGCACCCGCATGTGCCGATGCAGGTTCCCCTTCTGCGTGAACGTCTTTCCGCACAGCAGGCACATGAACAGCTTGTGCATTTTCAAGTGGTTGGCGTAGTTTTCCAATTGCCGGAAAACTCTTGCGCACTTGGGGCATTGGTGGTACCATTGCGGCGGCTTGTCGTAGCTTCTTTGGTGAGATTTCTCGTTGGACGGCGAGGACGGAGGCGGGCTTAAAGGAAAGTTAGACAGAGCGGGAGGAAGGGCAATGTCGCTGCCCCTACTGTCCACTGTTGAGTTTATCAGAGAATGTTGCGGTTCGGGAGATCTCAAGGATGCGGCCGGACTTGCTAGAAACTGCCGCGTGATTTCGTTTTCCTCCATTTCGGACACGGACTCTACTTTGACTATAGCGATATCTGCCTCCTCTGGGTGTTTAGGCTGTCTGCTGACAAATATCGGAGGACTTTTGGGTTCAATTATCACGTCGTCGTCATCGTCTTCATCGGCGTCATTCGAGCTTTCGTCCTCCATTTGCTGAATTAGCTGCTCCTCGCGCATCTGCTCCCTCAAAGCAAGCGAAGACGTGTCCTTCGCTTTGTCCCTACTCAAATCCACTGCTAGTTGCCGTGACGATTGAGGTTTGATAAATTTACTCAGAGCCTGGGTGCACTGCTCGACAATATGCCCCATTTGGAGAAAGCTGGCAACTGTCAAATAATGCACCAACTCTAATTCAGGGAACTCCAAATGTCCTGTATAGCAAGACAACAGGAGCTGTCGACCCACCTCAGCCTCTTGGATCATGGATATATGGACTTCCCCGGAGTCTTGCTGGAGAATGAATTGATCTCGTAAAAACGACGAACCGGCGGCAAAAACAACTTTATGTCCCGAAACTTCCAGATGATTGATGCGGACAGTAACGTCACAAAATCGTCTCTGGTGGCGAAGCAGGTTCATCTTTTGTAGCATGGAGTCTCCAAAGGTGGCAAACCGGAATTGTAGGATCACCTGGTTCTGAGCCATGATGGACGGAGAGCCTGCAGTCACAACAGGGGGCCTATAGAGAAGGGACAAGCAGACGAAAAGCTGTGACATGTATTCAAAACAAAGGAAAATCAAAATGTTCCCATCTCAATTACCGACATGTACCAAGAAATAAAAAACAATTATTGGGTTGATAACTTTTCATATATAAAGTTATAACAAAAAGATATTGGTATTATCTTCTCAATTCTCCTAGATCAACCTGCCCTACAGATAATGTACTCTAGCTTTAGACCCCAGGTGTTTTATTCCCTTGCAAATAAACTGATTATTGAATAGCTTCCGTACTACAGCGGCTAAAAGAGATCTTGATCTAACTGAGCTGCTTTATCTGTTTACTAGGCTAACGTCAAACAGTATAAAGCTAGCATGAAAGTGCTGAGGACCAAACAAGAAAGTTTATAGTGTTGTCATACCACTAAGAGTAGCACCAGATTTGGTCAGGTCTAATTAAAGACCTTTAAAAAGAAATTTTCCAACTCTCTACTCTCAATACCAGATTGTCAGTTCAATAATACTCAATTGATACACAATACTATGGGTATGATTAAGACCATGGTGATGATTTAAAGTTCTGGTTTAGTTATGAATTATGATATACAACAAAAATGCATTGGACAATGTTTAAATAGATTTGTTCTAATGATAATTTTTACATTGATAATTTATGATCAAAACCTGTTTTTTGATAGTATTGACAAGCCTCTATACAATACAATAACTCTCAACAGACATAAGCTGCATTCAGTTTTGCATTTTACATTATGAAAAATACATCTCACTACAAACGTGATTCGATTTTCATTCAATTCATTCAACGATATCTCTATACTGTTGAAACATGTCTTACCTTGATCCGAGACTGGATATGGATTCGTTTTATATAGAAAATGTGCATAACAGCTATGAAAGATTAATGTAAATTCCACTTTAATGTCTGAGATAGAGGGACACATGATATGAAATGGTCTGTGCATCAGCTGTGTTAGCATCTATGTTAGCATGTATGTTAGCATTAGCCTGAGAGAAAAGGTTTAGGGCGACTGACATGGATCTATTTAGCTCCTTCAATAGTTAAAATGGTGCACTGTGCTCAGTAAACGCACAGTTGTAAGCGCAGGAATAACATTAATCATTAGGTTTAGTGTGCACACATACAGCACCATGCTAATCATGCTAACGATGCTAACGATGCTACTGTGCGCTGATCCCAATGTTAAAGAATATTACAGTAACAAAGGCTTGACACAGGCTCTACCTTTATAACTCCACGTAAATGTGCTCAGTTTTCTGTGTGAGACGAGCTCTTCTGTTGTGTATTGACTGCAGCAGACACCGCTGTCCTCCAGACGAAAAAAAATCAACAAAGATGAACCGGATGCATTTTTTATTTAAAGGGACAGCAACCACAGAGCACCCATAAGGGCACCCAGAGAGCCCCCAGAGAGCCCCCAGAGAGCCCCCAGAGAGCCCCCAGAGAGCGCCCAGAGAGCCCCCAGAGAGCGCCCAGAGAGCCCCCAGAGAGCGCCCAGAGAGCCCCCAGAGAGCCCCCAGAGAGCCCCCAGAGAGCCCCCAGAGAGCACCCAGAGAGCCCCCAGAGAGCCCCCAGAGAGCCCCCAGAGAGCACCCAGAGAGCCCCCAGAGAGCCCCCAGAGAGCGCCCAGAGAGCCCCCAGAGAGCCCCCAGAGAGCCCCCAGAGAGCGCCCAGAGAGCCCCCAGAGAGCACCCAGAGAGCCCCCAGAGAGCACCCAGAGAGCACCCAGAGAGCACCCAGAGAGCCCCCAGAGAGCACCCAGAGAGCCCCCAGAGAGCCCCCAGAGAGCCCCCAGAGAGCCCCCAGAGAGCCCCCAGAGAGCGCCCAGAGAGCGCCCAGAGAGCCCCCAGAGAGCGCCCAGAGAGCACCCAGAGAGCCCCCAGAGAACACCCAGAGAGCCCCCAGAGAGCGCCCAGAGAGCCCCCAGAGAGCGCCCAGAGAGCACCCAGAGAGCCCCCAGAGAGCGCCCAGAGAGCGCCCAGAGAGCCCCCAGAGAGCGCCCAGAGAGCGCCCAGAGAGCACCCAGAGAGCCCCCAGAGAACACCCAGAGAGCCCCCAGAGAGTCCCCAGAGAGCCCCCAGAGAGCCCCCAGAGAGCGCCCAGAGAGCCCCCAGAGAGCCCCCAGAGAGCCCCCAGAGAGCGCCCAGAGAGCCCCCAGAGAGCCCCCAGAGAGCCCCCAGAGAGCCCCCAGAGAGCGCCCAGAGAGCGCCCAGAGAACACCCAGAGAGCACCCAGAGAGCGCCCAGAGAGCCCCCAGAGAGCACCCAGAGAACACCCAGAGAGCACCCAGAGAGCCCCCAGAGAGCACCCAGAGAGCACCCAGAGAGCACCCAGAGAGCCCCCAGAGAGCGCCCAGAGAACACCCAGAGAGCCCCCAGAGAGTCCCCAGAGAGCCCCCAGAGAGCACCCAGAGAGCCCCCAGAGAGCACCCAGAGAGCCCCCAGAGAGCACCCAGAGAGCACCCAGAGAGCCCCCAGAGAGCGCCCAGAGAACACCCAGAGAGCACCCAGAGAGCCCCCAGAGAGCACCCAGAGAGCACCCAGAGAGCACCCAGAGAGCCCCCAGAGAGCGCCCAGAGAACACCCCAGAGAGCCCCCAGAGAGTCCCCAGAGAGCCCCCAGAGAGCGCCCAGAGAGCACCCAGAGAGCACCCAGAGAGCACCCAGAGAGCCCCCAGAGAGCACCCAGAGAGCACCCAGAGAGCACCCAGAGAGCACCCAGAGAGCACCCAGAGAGTCCCCAGAGTCCCCAGAGAGCACCCAGAGAGCACCCAGAGAGCACCCAGAGAGCCCCCAGATAGCCCCCAGAGAGCGCCCAGAGAGCACCCAGAGAGCACCCAGATAGCCCCCAGAGAGCGCCCAGAGAGCGCCCAGAGAGCACCCAGAGAGCACCCAGAGAGCGCTGGCTGGAGATGACGTCACAACCCCGCAAATATTTATAAATAGATGGACAATGCTTACCAATGCTTACCATAGATCCATGTTACCAATGCTTACCAATGCTTCATTGCTAACTTAATGAAGCCCGATAGTGAAGTGCCCATGGACGAAGTTTGGCTCCAACTCGCTCTCGGCCCCAATTGACTTGTAAACTATTTTAGCTCCCATCTCTGTGTGGAGTGAGCGTACAAATGCCCAAAAATAACAGTTGTAAACCGCTCTGTGACTCTGGTCTGTGAAAGGCGGTATATAAATGAAGATTACTCACTTAGATAAAGATTACTTAGCTCAGTGACTGTTATCAGTGACAGGCTGTAAAGAATATCCTCCTTAGCCTCTTTGTCATGTTAATGTGAGGAGCTCAGGTTAGAAGCATGTGAGTGACCAGGACAAAAGTAGGACTTCAGATTTGACCAGACCAGAACACAACACTTAAACTTTGTTTTTATTTAGTTGCTTAAATTGCAAGATGAAATACTGCAACATACACAACATGTGGATTCTGTATTTGTGATCATACAAGTGGTTGCTTCCTAATGAGTTTGTTTAAACCTATAGCATGTGTGTGTGTGTGTGTGTGTATGTTACACCCAAATATATGTGACCTCATATGTAGTACACCACTGTTTTACACGCTTGTAACTGAACTGTCAATAGTGAAAATATATTGAGAGTTAAACTTTTCAACCAATAAAAAGACCATATAAATAAAATGTTTATTTACAAAACCTCCAACATGTTAAGCGTATTTGCTGTGCATCAGAATTTTTTGAATAACCTGCAGATAAAAATGGGACAAAGTTAGTTCAATATTAAAGCAGTTTATTTACTTTAAGGCATGAAAATATAATTTCCTTATTACCCCATGTAACTGTATCCTATGAAAAAGGCCAAAGCCACAGACCCAACCACAGCAGCAGCCGATAGAGCGCAGACTGTCAACACATAGGAGGACCCTGAGGACACAAATACAAATACTTGCTGAAATATTAAGCACGTCTGTTTATAAAATACACGAGCTAAAATAGAAAGAACGTACATTTTGCTCCTGCTAAAACAAATTCCCATATCACGCTGTAACGGAACAGCTCATAAATGGATTTACAAAGAAAATGGCAAGACAAGGCGAGTTTATATGTATAGCACAGTTCATACACACGTCAACTCAAAGGGCTCAAAACAAGATAGAGACAGTCACACAAGGCTCAAAGTATAATCACTACAATCAAAGAGAGAGCTACACCACAGTGTTTAACCCACAATTGTGAGTGCGACACAAGGACTTTACTTTTCAATGTAAGTGTAGAGTATACAGTATTGTCTATCTATATATAAATAACAAATTAGAACTTGTAATTGTATTCACGTACAGTATTCAAGAAAAATTTAAGGTATCTTGTGGCGATATGTTAATTCTATCTAATCTGTCACCAAAATGCAAAGTGAATGTGTTGATTATTGATGATTATTGTGATACTACACTACACTTGTGGATCAATAAAGTCGGTCTAAATAACGTTGAACATGTTTGTGCAAAAATATGACAGATCTGGCATACTTGTAATGTCTTATTTTAATTTGTATTACTGTTAAAATGTGGTTTCGCGGGAATATTTTTCATTTGAATTGTTTGCATTTCAAAGAGCCTATTGTTTAACATTGTGGTGGAGGACAATAGAGGACAAATTATTCTTTGGTAACTAAATAAAATATGTCAAAAGTTCTAGTAATTCCTTCACGTTTCTATAGGCACAAAGTTCCTCTTCTTCTCTGTCAGCACGTAGATTGTCTCTGAAGAGTACTTTTATAGTCTCCATACGGAAATGTGTCTATATTTGACCCATGCTTCAATTCCACGGAGCCTCAGGGGCGGACACTGAACATTCAACAACATTTATGGACATTTATCAACACTTATGGGCCTTGGTCAGCTCCCCGCGCTGTTTTATATTCTTTGTGTTTAAACTGTTTGTTGACTGTTTGAGATAACTACTGCAGTGATTTAGGGCTTGACAAGAATACATTGATTTGAATTGAACTGAGCAGTTGTCACGTAGTACAGCGCCAGGGGGCCAATCTCCAGATAATGGTGCTTGCCTCAGTCGGGAGCAGAGATGGAGGATTTTTATCTATGGTGCATGTTTTCAGCAGCAGAGGAAAGCAGGGCACTAAAAGGAGAACATGCAAATTCCACTCAGTAAGACACTTTTCTCACCGGGAGAGGGTTTGCCGCTCTGCCACCATACTGTTCATCAACATGTAAACTATAACATAAATATTTGGTGTCTCAGTGGTGACAATATCCAAAAAGCACATGCAGGCAGTGGATTGAGAATAATATGAGGGTTTGTGAATCTAATCACTATGACATTATGATCTGAGAAAAACCTTTGGGCATTTTCCATTCAAGCATTTGTTTCATTCATTACAAAAAAAAATCTTTTCTGGACAGTGTTGTAGATTCCAGAAATGCAGCACACGTTGTGTTGTAGAATTAAAATGTTGTATGCTAAAGATTATCATCAGCTGTTTGCATAAAATGTCTTTGTGTAATATTTAGCCTGAGTTTAGTGAATTCAGGGAAGACTCAAGGACAAGGTTTCTGTGATATAAGTGTCATTTTCAGGAACAGTGTGTCTCTTATCGGACCACGGCCTGTGACACAAAACTGGACAAGACCAGACCCAGACGAGGGCCTCTGTTGGTCTCACCATATGACGTCATCGGACATTTTCATAAAACTATTGGTTGGACATTTTGTTAGCAGTCTGAGCAGGGACAGAGAGACAGAGGACATTTTCAGGCCTGGAAGGGACAGTTGAAATGGCTCAGCTCATAGGGTTAGTTATAGAGAATTAATATAGTATAATATAGAATTAATATAATATAGAGGGCGGCACGGTGCCTGAGTGGATAGCACTCTCGCCTCTCAGCAAGAAGGTCCTGGGTTCGAATCCCGGTCGGACCAGGGCCTTTCTGAGTGGAGTTTGCATGTTCTCCCCGTGTCTGCGTAGGTTTCCTCCGGGTACTCCGGTTTCCCCTACCACTAAAAATATGTCCAAAAGTTCTAGCATGCGCCTCCTGTACTGGCGACCCCGCTCCCATCTCTGTGTGGAGTGAGAGACAAATGCCCAAAAATTAACAATTGTAAACCGCTTTGAGACTCAGATCTGCAGTGAAAAGGCGGTATATAAATAAAAACTTACTTACTTACTTACTTAATAGCTCAGAGAGTTTTGTATTAATATTTAATGTTAAAGATAAATAATTATTGTTCTATTTTTAACTCTTGAATACTTGGTCTTATTTCTGTATCAAATTTGAACACGTCCGTCAATTTTTTTTGGAAAATAACAGCTAGAACAAGCCCATACCTTTCACTTTAGCCCACAGAACGCAAGAACATTTGGATTCCTAAAAAGAGGGAGAACACAAAATAATGACTTTTTCATATCATCTATCTGGACATGCATATCTCTTATAAATGTTGAATTTACTCACATTCCTCCACCTGCTAACAGCTCGTAGGATTACGTAATAGTCCCGGCCTTTCTGCAGTGGTGCGTTTAAAGAGCCTTTGTAAAATCGTCCATCCCCAACAGTAAATGTCATCTCTCTTCCGACATCGTTCACATCTATTTGAGCTGTAATGTACTGTGTCCCGTACTGGTCAGACGTTGGAGAGGAACAATCAAAAACCATAAGACCATCTACCGGAAGCACAAAAATTTCATAAAAGCTGCACACACACAAAAAAAAGGATAAATGATTATTGATGCAGTAATGAAAATGAAAACCGAGATATACATTTTCATTGTGCACCTTATGGCGTCGAGCGTGTTCTGAGATCGTTGCAAAGTTAAGGTGGGGACCGGTGTGTCAAATTCTCTGTAGTGAACGACAGGAGCTGGAGGCACTGGTGAAGACAAGTTTTATGTGTGAGAGCTAGCGGCGATTAAAGTACAATAGGCTTCATGTCGGGCTGAAGAACCACCGAGAGCATTGAAGAGAGACAAATCATCTCAGAGCAGCACTGATAGTAATGGACTGTTCAGTGGTCCCTCGTTTATGGGGCAGTTATGTCCAAAACACCATATACCAGGCATGTCAAACTCAGGGCTGTGAGCCATTTCCAGCCCGCGAGATCAATTTTAGTGGCCCCTGCAATGATTTTCAATTATTTTTATCACGGTCACTTGCAGCGTAGATGGTGATTTTAAAGTCTATTATCCCAGGAGAACAGCCGTGTAAATGAGTCTGTTCTTAAAGGTTAGCAGAAATCAGTCTATTTGGCCCAACTTTGAATCAAAAAATGCGAGAAAATAACAACCAAACTTGTGTTAAAAATAGTTGAATATCTCCTGGCTCCAACCAGCTCTTATGTTTTTAGATTTGGCCCCCGACAACATTGAGTTTGACACGCTTTTCTAACCGCCTGAACTCACGACTGCTGAAGTGCGATAGCGGATACATCAGACCTGTTTGTGGTAGGTCTGAGCTGTATTCTATAATGTGTTGACAGCTGCAGCGCTCAGACCTGCAAATTAAAAGAGAAGACACTTCCCATGAGAGGCAGGAGAAGCTACGGGAAGATTGGGGAAGTCCTCTGAACTTATGGTTGCTGTGCACACAAGCTTTCAATCAAGGCAACTCTCAGGTTGTAAGATGTTGCATCTTATGTTGTTCCAGGATACACACTATATAAAAAAGCATGAAAAATAGCACAAAGTAGCACACACAAAAATGGTTTTTCGTTTTTCTTAAAATGAGGTCATTTTAAGAGAAACGAAAAACCTTAATTTGTTCCACATTAGGTGCTTTTCAAAGCTGTTTATTTGGGAAAACAACATTTTTCTTTATACCATGGTGGGTGAGGAGTCCGCTGCAATCGCACGTTCCATACTCCATCTGAGGCATCACCATAGTAACCCACAACATTGAGCACAAACATTTTCTCCTTGTCTTGATTTTGGCCA